TGGTGACATTCTGATTAAGGGGTATCTCAGTCATGAAGCAACTCCCTTTTGTTCTCTGGCACCGCCAAGCAAATTGTCCAAGGGGCACGCAACAATGAAAAAGGGTGACGTATAACTTTATGGAGACAGAGCAGGTGATTAATGTTAGCGTCAGATCGATGGTCAGCTGGATCGATGAACTTCAAGTCACAGTTACCTGCATTAACGCTATGGGGAAAAGGCATCCTGTGTGATAAAGACACACAAGGTTGAATCACATGTGTACTGGATGCTCCCAGGACACAACCTGCATCAGCCCAACCGATCAGTCAGGACTTGATGAAAAGTAGGTCATCCTCAGTCACAATCTTTCCAATACTTTCAGCGCAGTGCCTCAGAGAACGATCTGGACTGCACTTAGCACAGAGATGTCACTGTATGCTCTGTACAGCTCATACAGAAATGAGATCAGATTATCAAAGAGAACCTCCCATCATTTCAGTTGTTACAAATCCTGGTTGCAGATCCTTCTTGCCTCAGAAACATTTTTTTCATGTTGTCAGGATAGTCTGAATAATTATGGCACTAATTAATAAGAAACTTTATTTATATTGAGCCTGTCATGCTCTGTGCAGCTCAAGGTGCTTGCAAAAAACATACAGCACATTTAAAATGCAGAGAAAATGATTAAATGCTGAAAAAATATACACACTATAAAAATGATACAGACCAAAAAAAAACATGTCACATTTTAAAGCAGCAGAACAAAATCACATTCAAACATATCACAACTATATATATAAAATTATAGGTATCTTAAAAAGCATTAGTACAATTGTGCATAATAAAAATGGCAAAGGTGCTGAGAACAAAAACTCCCGAAGACCAAAAAGACAAAATCTGTTTTCATTGTTGATCGGAGCCACATCAATGGCAATCCCAAACTATAGTTTCTGTAGCTGTATTTCAGAAAATATTTTTCCTTGTCGTCTCTCATTGAGAATTTAAATGAAAATGCCTTTGGAGTCACAAATAAAACCCAGGGTAAACTGTAAAGCACTGCAGTTTTTCATACGGCAATACGAGGTTAATGTTTTATTATTGTATGCCTGCTAGAATACCCTGCTACAAAACCAACTACAATGACCCTAGAATGAGAATGACATCTGGAGCAGTTATGTCTAAAGGCTGTTTTGGCTTTGTGTCTTAACACAAGCTAAAGGCTGCTACCATTTTCAAATGGAATTAAAATAAGGCCAACACTTTTAAACATCAAGATTAAAAACAGAAAGCTGAAGAAAAAATATCAATACAGTTATTAGGATCTGCAACAGACTTAACAACGTGTTAATGACTGATATGTACAATGCAGTTCACTCTTCTTGTCTTGAGAATCCACACATTTTTATATCAAAACAGGTTATGGTGTCCTCGTATGATTATGAATTGCAGCGTCATTATTTGCAAATATCTCTGAATCTCATGTGTATATGTTAAACAAACAGGATAAATAAAGATGTATCCTGTCAAAGTGCAAGTAATTTTAATCTCACAACAACAACAAAACACATTTCTCCATTACACAACCTTGCTGTATTGCATTCTATTAATATATTCTTTGCAACTCAGTTCCTTCTTTTATCACTGGTGATAATCTTCAAGAAAGGAGATTAGTCCAACTGTGGATAGTACAGGATTGTCTTGCGTCTTGCTGTCTGGTGCAGGAAAGATCACTGTGGGAACTGTCTCATCCAGTTCCTGAAGAGCTCCTCCCCCAAACTTAAGAGATATTGCCTTCAAGGCTCACCAGCTGAAGGAAAAAGGTATGGTCTATGACCTCACAAATGCCTCTGAGCCTGTCTTGTGAGATAAAGGCCCCAGGATTAGTCACCATTTTTCTGTTGCTCCATAATGTTATGTAATGAACAGATTCTCAGTAACTGAACAATCACAAGCCCCTTTAAAGCACAGGGGACTTGTGGTTTAAAGACTTCACCAAGCCTTGCCCCAAAACAGATCTCCTTCAGAGATTCTACATCTGAATACCAACAAGATCCCAGGTGGAGTGTGGCTAAAATATCAAGCTATCTAATCTCAGTCAGATCCAGTCCAAAACTAAGACCACCCTGGATTCAATCATTAACATCCCATATGCTGTCTGATGATGCTGTAACGTGTTTGGAGCTTCAGGAAATCATCAATATCATACACGAAAATGGCATTGATGCTTAACACTCTGAAGACTAAGGTCATCCATCAACAAGCTCTCAATGAGCAGCCCAGTTCTGGCAATTCAGATTCATAGGAAGATTCTTGGAAGTGTTCATTATTCCTTGTATCTTGGAAGTCATCTTTCACAGTTACAGCATTACCTCAAATGTTCAAATGCAGCCTTTGATCAATCAAGATGTAATCCCCACTCTACTGAGACATGGACAACACACACCTCAGAAGCCACCTTAGAGCACAGAAGAAGTATTATCACTGTTCCCCGACCTTTTAAATATAGGCAGAAGATAGATGAAACAATTTTAGCATCCTCTCCAAAAGAAACATGATGAGCATCGAAGCAACACTCATCCAACATCAACATCTTTCATCTCATGACTCATAAAGCAAGTGTTTTCCCGGCTCTGACATATTTTCTCAAAAGGAGAGCAAAGAAAATGCTTTAAACATGTTCTCAAGGTAAACATGAAAAAGTGCAAGACAGACAGGAACTCTTAGAAGCCTATGCCTCAGATGGAGAAAGTGTATGTCACAAGGGACTCAACTCTTCAAAGACATGCACTGACCATGGGAGACAGAAACATGAGAAAGGCAGAAACAGTATGGTGTGGACCAGAAAGACCAACAAGCTGGGACCTGCATTCCACCTGGAAACACATGCCCCAAAAGCAGCAGGGCTTAAGTCTGCCGGCTGGTCTTCATCAGCCAATTTTAGACTCAGAGATAAGACAATCATGAAGGACAATCACCCCAAACTATAAGGCAGAAATAGTACTATTTACATTTTAAACAGTGTTCAGCTTCATGTAAAGTCAAGTCATAAGCCCTTCCTGTGCCAGATATTTGGCAATTGAGTATTAAAATCCCCCAGCTGTCTCAACTAGAGGCTGCTTAGGGCTATGCATCAACTGTTCGGTGGTGTTCTTCTTTTCAAATTCTGCATGAATTACAGTAGGTCTATATATTTGGATTATGCACAATTTATTTTTTAAAATAATTTTCGCTTCAATTCAATTAGAATTATAATGGAACGTGTGTATTAATTGATTAATTGTATTTGATTCACAAATTACATTACTAATAAATATGGTTATTTTTCCTTATTTCATTATCCTTCACAAGGTGTTAGGGAAATTTTTCAATGACCTGATTTTGACAGTATCATATTGCAAACTGATACTGAACTCTTTGATCTGTATTTTCTTCACATTTTCTCAGATTTTTTGGGATGTTTTGAAAATATGATGACATCAATTAGGCACGACAGTTGCATTTTGTGCAAATAAGATATATATATATCTTAGATTACCCACTAAACTCTTAACAAAAAGGAAAAGCTAACTTGTTAAAAAAATGACAGATCTGTACCATGAATCTGGCTTTTGTGAATGAAAGTACAGTATTATTCATTAAAGATTACTTTTAAAGTTAAAAATATCATTCATGTAACCCATTTCCAGCAATAATATATTTCAGTGCTGAAGACCTTAGATTAAAGCATGCATTTAAATGGAAATTTAAGCAGACCCATCACATTCTGAACAGCATGGGGGATAATTTGTAGCAGGGATGTCAAGTATCTTCCATCAATAACCAGTAATAGAATGGAGCAGGAGTGACAGGTGTGGACTAAAGACGTGAAGGGATTCGGGCACCCTCTTCTGGTAGAAAGTCACATTACACGTCAACAACATGCCACGGTAAAGAAACAGAAAAACAAAACATTCCTGGGTTTTATTGCCTTTTGTGCAATATATTGCAGTTAATCAATTGCCATTTAAACATTAGTACTTTTACATTTGAGCTTTGAGAACAAGTTTGAAGTTTTAGTTTTCAGTGTAAATAGAAGGCATTTGATGATGACAGCAGCAAAACCACGTATCGTGGTCTTAGCATGTCACCTTAAATTTTCACATTTTAGTGGCTTGTTGCTCAGTCCTACAGATGGAACCCCTACGCGGTCCTGGATGTTTGAGTGGTCCTATTTCAGGGCTGTCTGTATGGTCCACAGTTCAATAATTCCCCACTTGGGGTATCCGGTCACAAAGCCAGTTGCTCTTCAACGTATCTCCTCAGTTACCAGCTATTCTTACAGGTGAATTCATCTCTTATCTCCAATTTACAACATTCACTCATGTTTGTGGTTTCTCTTTTTCACAGTTATATAAAAAAAGAGATATTGGTGCTTTCAACTCAGCTTAGTTAAATCATTGTTATCTATACCAGACAGTCCTGTTTAGCCAGGGACACAGGTCCCCAGGTTCATTAAAACTCAGCTGGACCTCTGCCACAGCACCAGCACCAGCACCAGCACCAGCTGGCGCCAGTTTGACACCTGCCCATCTACCAAGATTTTAGGACAGAAACACTCAAGAACACCTATGACATCTTGTCTTTCTGCACTCAGAAAAACCCAACTACCCTGCTACAGCCTGGCTGCTCTTGTACACCTCCCTGTTAAGTCAAGGGCATCAGAGCCAATCATAACTGCTCCTCTTCCTCCTGTGGAATCCCAGTCCCTCAGGGTGCCAATCATTTAATTAGGCCAGGTGGGCCTAGTTTGAACCCAGCTGCCTCCTTACTAGGTGTGTTTAAAACAAAGCTACCTCGCACTATCTCACACATATTCTAGATTTACTTTTGTTTGGGAGAGTTTTAGTTATTAAACTGGATTTGGAAGAATGTTCTTTGGTTTCCTGTTTTAGACTTATGGACTCTCAAAAGTGCAATGTAATATTTAGATTTTGATCACTAGTAAAAATACAAAATAAAAATACAATTTTGAAAAAAAATGTGAGGTAATTTACTGACTTTTTTAATGTCAGAAATGAATCTACATAGGTGATATAAGAACCTAAAACAATTGTAGAGAGTATAATTAAATGAAAGAAATCTGAAATGTTCTAAAAATTTTACACATAGTTTAGCACAGTAATTTAATTGAGGCAGGAAATCCACTTTTATAGAGATTGTGTTGTCCTCATTTTTCATTGTTTCTCATTATCTAAAATAAAGGAAAACATGCATTACCTTTAATGAAACAGAGCTCTCTAGTCAAAAGCAACAACCTAAATTTCAGAGCAGTGGAACACCAGTATTTATCTTTTGGGTTTCCCAACAAAAGGAACTGTACTTCATAATACTACAAATACTTTTTAATGCCATCTTGTGGTCAGAAACGGATTAAACCTTACATTTGTAGTTTTTTACTTTGACAACAGAAAGCATTGATGGGCAGAAACAAAATATGAAGGTTCATATAGATAAGTAATAAAACGTAAGTTGGCCTTAAAGTTATCTGCAGGCAGGATACAACGGACCAAACTCATACCCACAAATGACAGTCATATTCTGTTTTATGTTTTCAGAACTTACCTATGTGCAATCATCTTTGTAAGGAAGGGCCAGACATCTATTAGTGTCCACCTTACAAAACAGAGAACATGATCATTTAGTCAATATTTAGAAGAATAAAAGTTAGATTTCTATAAGACAAGGCTATGAAGTGAAGGCCTGTGCAATATTCCAGGTGTACTGTACATCCAGGTGGGGCTGCACACTGGTGGTGGTGGAGGGGATCCCCATTACCTATAAATCTCTTTGAGTGGAGTGTCCAGATAAGCACTAAGTGTAAGGAACTATTATTATTATTATTATTATTATTATTATTATTATTATTATTATTATTATTATATTATCAGCTAGTCTATGGGGTACAGACATATTCCAAATAGACTTGTAGGTCATAACATCAGATAACAAGTGCTTTTTCTTATTTAAAAATTTCTAACCTGTGATAGAAGCAGCTTTCAATAGACAGAAAAATCAATTTTGTTCTTACATGAATATAAACAAATGCCATACCTTAAAGAAAGATGTATAACATTACACATTAATGTTAAATAATTTATAGTACTCTCCCTGTAAGTAATATTTAATTTAAAAACATTTAATTATATATTATTCATAAGTGTTCAATGCTGTTAAAACCAATCAATTACTTTAAATGTGTAGTCATATGTACAGTACACTCCTGTTAAACTAATAAATAACTTCCTAAACACAGTCTGTCTTTTCTGGATTTCTTGTGTATTATATTTGTCTGTCAGGTGACTCCTGAACAAAAAGGTTGAGTTACAGTTCTTGTTTTTAAAGGTTTGCTCTTGAGCCAAACCAAATCCACCAGCTAAAATTCCTCTTTGTACTGTACATCACAAAACAGACAGAGCACTGTACTTAAATACTTATCCATACATTGACTCTGGGGTTCTCCTTCGCCTCGACCACAATGTTTGTTGCTGCAGGGCCATAGGCTTTTCTGACTCGTGCATAGTTGGCTCTGATTTGTATTTTCTGCTTATGTTCTGGAAAATATACAAAAATGTATATAAACAGAAGCACATGAAAACCATAGACTCATTTAGGTTACATTTGTAAAGCAATAGGAATTTACAAACAGCCTTTTAATTTACAACCCATTCATGTTCCTTTCCGTCTTCTGGCTACATTATGCATAAATATTTCACAGAAAGGCGACTTTCATGCTAACAAATATCAACAGGTCTGTTTGTATGATAAACACCAGGTGCTGTGTAAACACAAACCCAGCATCATGAGGTTCATTTTTCAACTGGACACTGGACATTTCCAAATGTTGCAGCTTAAGGTTGAATGTTCTTGTGAGAATACTGTAAGTTCTAAGAGAATGTATGATCTGGAAAGCACCTTGGTCCACAGTTTCTGTTTCTGTTAATGTATGAATCACTAAAATAACTTCAATTGAACTGCCTCCCAACATCAGTTACATGGTGCAAGACTTCCTACCAATAGACAGATCTTTTATACAAAACGGATTTAAAGAAAGGAGTTCATTCATAATATTTGCACTCATAAACAATACCAACTGTTAGAGGGAATCCAGTAAGCTGTCACACATACTATATTCCTGTTCACTCATTGTCCTTTTTAGCATAGCCCATTATTCCCTCACATTAACTCAAAATCAAAACCATATCTTCCTGGTAAGATTCCTTTTATTGTACTAAACCAGTATATACTGTAGGTATACTGTATGTAAATAATTAAAAGTATTATAAAAGGCTACACAGAAATCCTTTAGCTTGGACAAATCCAGCAATGTTACACATTTATAATCTAATACTATTTGTATAATACTTAGAGCACAAGCAATAAAAAACATAATTAATTATTTATTTAGAATATGTGATACTGTTCCTCCTGGAAAATTACAAGCACCAAACATTTATATGGATTGTTTCTCATTGTTTTTCAAGACTATTACTCAGAGTTTGTAGTTGACTGAATACCTTCTAATTGTAGAACTACAAGCAAAGGCTCCAATAAAATGTCCATCCATCCATTTTCTAACCAGTTCTTCCTAGCCTGGGGGGAGCCAGAGCCCGTCCTGGCAAGCAGTGGGTGTAAGCCAGGGTACACCCTGGACAGGACACCAGACCGTAGCAGGGCAGACACACAGACACACACACTGACACCAGAAGCCAATTTTCCCAGAAGCCAGATTGTTTTTGGACAGTTGGAAGAAACCAGAGCACCCACATGAACACGTGGAAAACATACAAACTCCAACAAAATTCCAAGTGATTTCATTATAATTCACTTTTGAACATGTTGCCTCCAATAGATAAATGCAATTGAACAACGGATACCTGCCAGATTTAACAGTACATTATGTTAAATACTTTTGCTTAAGTAAACAATTATGCGCCATTTACTATAAAACCTGTTTTCTGTTTGCGACAATGGCTGGAATGGTGCAATAAGAGCTCCTATATCTCCCCTGAGATGCAGTCTCCCAGCTTCATGTTCACAGGGCGCACATTGTACATGCTAATACAGTGCTCTCAAGAGTCAATGTTAGAAATATTTTCTGACACAATTCGCCAAAGAAGATAACATTTTCCAGCCTGACCTCTGCCAATACAAGGAGAATTCTACATCAGTCAGAGTGATTTCGACCACCAAGCTGATTGAATTGTCTGTAAATGACAGAGGTGCACTGCGGGGGACTGATAGATAAGTCTGACCTTTAGTGCTTATGAAAGTTTCTCCTGAAGATACGCAGATCAGTGCATCTCTTTCAATTTCATCCCAAGTCGTTAGGTGTTTGCCATCCGGAGTGTAAAGGATCACAGCAGGATGGATCAGGTTTAATTTGGATGTAGAATTAGCCAGCAGCTGAAAAGCAGTAGATCAGCAATTACTGATCAGGTGCATCACACAAGCAAGTACCTGGAATGCCACTTAGAAGACTGTCTTTTATAGCAGCCCTTCTTTACAGTGGCTTTCTATAAAACATTTTAACACCTACTACACAGATTTTCAAGGTACTGTAATATACAGTACTATTACTACTAATGAAACATTCACTTTTTTAATCAAATTTGTGATTGTATGTCTTGCTTACTTTTTCACACTCTAAAACTCAGTTCAAGACAGCATATAATTACACCATATTTCTCTTTAGGGAAGCTACTAATTGTCTAACAGCACAAAGAAGACTCTGATCTCAAGCCCTGTGATTTTCGTAAGTGATGAAACAAGAAAGAGAATCTGAATTAGAAATGTCGAAGGCCAGCTAGATACACAAAGTTGGAGATCCCAGTCAGTGATGAAATTAGGCTCGTCTGCAGAGACATGTATATTACTGTATAGTACGTTCATACTTAAAAACCATTTAGTTCTTTATGGACTACAGCTAGCAAAGGAGAGTTCCAAGATAAAGGAGAATAAATCAGTACTTACTGAAAATACAATATCCTGGAACAAGCATTAAAAAGACTGATAAAACAAATCTGGTAAAATTGATAAGTAATGCAATAATCCAAAAAGATGATTTTAGCATGCATTAATCCACCTCACCTCTTCAATGTTTTTTCCCCAGACATAAGTGACCTGTTTAGGATCCCCATTTCTATAGATCAGCACTCTTTTAACATCAGGCTGGTCGTATAATTGTCTTGGGTCCTTGACTAGCTTATTCAGAAATGGTTTTCTGTTCTTTGCCTGCTTGGCCTTGACTTTTGAGAGCTGCACCTATTGAGGAAAACAAAACATGCAGAATTTTATTTGGGAAATAACTAAAAAAACACCTGGTTATTATAGGATCACTGAGTTTGCAAACAGGGACAGCAAGGATAGGTGTCTTATCTTTTACATCTGTATTCATTACATCTGATGCTGAAAAGAAAAGAGACACATAACTGTGTGTACTTGCTGTGGAGCCCTACGTTATGCCACTTTTCTCTTCTTTTCAGCATGGAATAAACCTTTACTTGTGATGCAGCTGCCTGCTTGCACTGCTTCTGATGCCTTAGTATTGCAAAAGTCAGTCACTTACTGTTATCACATCTCTCAGATACATCATTCTTGACAAATGTTATGGTGATAACTAACCAGTTACCCTGGGAGTTTAGGTAAGAGTTAATAATAGGTTAGCCTAATATATCTAGGTTAACCTCATAGGTAAACCTAGTAACCTCATTAATAGGTGTATGAATTGAGACCCTGGCTTGAATAGTTCCATGTGTCTGTGTACCTCTACATTTTGCACATCTTCCATCAGCTTCACTTCCTCCTGGGATGCCTCTGTCCATCCGCCTTCAATGACAACTGGCTGGATGGGATTCTGAGTCGGTATCATGCAGGCTGGTTGCAAGCTGGTCATTCGCCTTCCTGTTGCAAAAGTGACACTGGAAAAGGTAAAGACTCTGCCTACAGTATATGTCTGAGTCAGACTATAGTGGTGCAAAGCTGTTTTTAGGAGTGGTTGGCTGTTATAATTGGGGGTGAGAGGGACTATTTTGTTTCATTTCCATTTCTGGAATTGCTGCTTTTTTATATATATTTTAAAAAGACATTGGGTATCAAATGACATACTTTGGAAAAAACTCAGACATTGTCAAGATGTAGTAAGGTTTAAAAGACAGTAACAGGGAAGTGCTTTAATTTCTCTGTCTTTCAAATCCTCTGTACGTTTGGGATCTGACCTTGCAGGTGCCTCATTTTATGTCTTTTAATGACTAGATCAGCCAGGACCTTCTCCTTCTGCAGCCAGTTCTCCTTCTGCATTCTCTTCTTTCTGTGCAGAGCTAGAGGTAGAATTAATAATAATACTCAACTGTTTTGCAAGGGTTTGCAGGGAATGGAAAATACATTCTGGAATAGAATTACACTGTTCAGCCACCAGTAGGGGCTGTATCTATATACAAATACCTGTACTGTACATTGTCAACTATTGGGGGTGTCTTTTTATCCTTGTTTTTATACAATCTAGGTATATTTTTTTCTTCAAAAAGGAGTGCTGCATGTTACTTAAATCCAGCTTCTTTTAAAAAAACAGAAAACAGTACAATCATGTTGTCAAAAATATATCTTTCATAAACATTAGCGGCAAATTGTTCCATTTCACATACAAATATGGAAATGACTGTAAGGTAATAAAGGGACATTTATAACCTGGATGACTATATTAAACATGCTACTGTATGTACTCTGACTCTTTTATACTAAGCTGTAAGGAGACTCTGTGATGCTGGTTCTATACACCCACAGAAAAATACAGTCATTCCAGACTTGGAGAAATACTTGTCTCCTACAGTGGATATTGAATTATTTTTAAAATGTAATAAAATGTTCAAGCAGACAATAAAATAAATGCAAGTGATTTAGTAGGCCTTCTGAAATGTACAGTAATAAAAATAACTCAGAAATAAATGATTGAATTATTCTCTAATTGATGAACATGTTTGTACAGTGTAACACAGAATTACCATTACCTGCCAAATCGGCACTCACTAATAAAATTCAATTATTAATGGGCCTTGTGCAGGAGAAGCATGAAATCTTCTATTTATTAGTGTTCACTCAGCACTCAGCTCTTCTCCTGTGATCCTTATATATTTTAGCATTCAGGCCAGACTGAATAAATCCAGAGTTTATCTGATTACAAAGCAATCCACATGGGGTTTATTACTAATTTCCTTGACACATCTGTAAGCTAAGACACACTACAATGGATAGTTGTTCTCCTCACTGCAGAGCACAACTTGCTTGTCATGCCCTGTGCTTTCAATGATTTCAGATATGGCAGTCCTAAAATTTGTCAGTTGCTTTAGGGGCTACTTACTGTACATACATGGAAACAATAAGAGCAGATCCTAAAACTACAAGTGGAAACGGATCATTCCATTCTTTTCATGTAATTTATTACCATGAATCGGAAGAAACGGTTCCCCACAGGACACCCACACATCGATAGGGGTTCTTAAAATCAGAGTCAGTAGGGTCTCATCTATATTGTCAAGGTCTTCTGCTGTCACCTGAGGAAAGAGCTCAACTCTGGAGCTGCCTTTCTCCTTCCCACTGGGCTTTGCACTCTCTGTGAGAAAAAGCACAAGTAAAGTTGTCTTATTTATAAACCACGCTGTGAACACAACGTTCTCAAAGGACAGGTAATGCCATAAACATGGATCTTTCTTGTCAGCAATAATGCAGACCGCTCTTGTAAACGTTCGAAAAGTAGAATCTCTTTTGCTGCTGTAACTCTTTGTGAAGTATTCCTTAAAGGATAGTGACCTTGTCTGCCTTGTCTGGGAGACCTGGTTACCATGGGGCTTCATCTAATAACTGGTGACTTTCAATCTAGGACACAGACCTAAACCTTGGCCAAACAATTAATTTTAACTTCAGTCCATTTTCTTGTACTGCACATTTTAAAAAAAAAGTAAAGATGAGCATTGCAAACATCACTTTTTTTGGCATTGAATTCTTCCCAAAATCTCACTGATCAAGTGAACTTGTTTGACTCACTTGTCAGGTCATCCGTATCCTCTGTGTTTACAGGGGAATCAGCCTCCTCTTTTTCATCTGTGCTGTCTTCTTGGAAGCATTCATTCACAGACCATGCCTTTAGCTGAGGTACTGTGAGAATCTGTGTTCCGTCCACCACATACAGCCTGGAGGCTGCCCTGGGCAGCTGAAGCTTATGTGTACACATTGAGAGCAGCTACACATAATGGAAGGTTAAAAAAACATGCATGAAAAAATGGCTTCAGAACAATACTGGAATTCATAAATCTATATAAAACATTAAGTTACAAATACATTGCAATTCAATTCAGGTAAGAGCTCTGACAAAGTTGTGTCTTTTAAATCTACACTGGGCACTTTTAACTCAGGAAGCCTTGTCTTTTGACAGAGTGCACTAGCTCTGTGTTACTCACCATTGGCATTGTAGTGGCAGTTATTACCTGTCCACCCTCATTGCCATGCCCATTCCTGTAAGCCAAGATCTTCACAGGGTGGAGTGTCCTGGCTGTAGAAATCTCTTTAGCAATTGTCTGCACTGAAGTCTCTTTCCTTAAAGATTGCAACATCTCCTCCAAGTACTGCAAAGTGTTCTCTGCTTCTGACATAGAGAGGTCAGTCTGAAAGACATTTGTTTTAACCCTTCACCAGTGGCACTATATTTTAAATATACTGCAGAAATCCTACCTAAGAGCTGGCAGTCACAAATTAAGAATTTATTCATTTTGTGATCAGCTACTTTCACTTGAATATTTCCGCTACTAATTGAATGAAACTACCTATACAGTACATAGAATTCTTATGCAAACATTGGACACAGGATGAAGAATGCAAGGATGAAACAGTTTAAACTCTGTTGTTTATACGGTAATATTTTTTTCAGCTAAAATATTGCAAGGGGTTCTAAAATGTGCCTACTTTGGTGACACTCAGGCTTCTGAATGGGCCTGAGTGACCCAGCCCACTCTCCCTCTGACCAGTGGCGCAGCAGAACGATGAGTCAGGGGGCAGTATAGTCAAGATCCTTTTCCCTCTTAATGCCCTGGAGCATGCTGCACACACTGTAGTCTTTCCACTCTGACCCGGGAGTGTGAAGTAAGAGCCCTGTAAGAACCAGATTTCAATTAAAACAGGGCTCTCCAACCCTGGTCCTTCCAAGCCCAAGAGCTGTAGGTTTAACAGGTAACTATTAAATCATCAGTTTCTGAAGACTAGGAACAATTTAAGAAGAGATAAGAATTCATGTGAAGAGTTAAGAAAGTTAAACAACATCATTGAATTAGTACAATTCACTTACTTGTGAAATAAAATGATTTAGAAATCATTCAGAATGTAAATCCATATATATCCACTCACAGCAGCAACTAAGGAGAGGCAGACATGCTCCACTGATCTACCCAGTGGGTTCTCTTTCACACTCTGCAAGCTGCAGCCTGCTTCACAGGGGCATCAGCACCTGCCTCCTACCTGCTGATGGAGCTCCTCTGGGCCAGAGATGGAGTAAGTGCACACTGAGGCCTGATTGGCTGCTGTGATCTCCTGGTCAGTTTCCGTGGTATAGAAGGCACTCAACACCTTCAGTTCTGGGATCCAGTCCCATTTCTGATTGGCTGCTCCATAGCTGTAGGGTTTGTATTTCTGAAAGGCCCAGATTTAAACACAGACATGCAGCATTATTCTGTAAATCTAAATGCTTTAGAAGAATGCTTGAATGTTAAACATGACTTACTATATGTTCTAATTACTATCATACTGTATATTTGTATTTGACAAAAATGCTTTGAATAGGAAACTCATTTTTAGAGTTTCACTTAACAGTAGCATCAGAAAACCATTTAATATTCTGATGATTTTTATCCTCTGATTCCCCAACTTTGTTCATAACTATTACGACATTATAGAGCCATAAGACAACCCCAGTGGGAAGAAAACAGTTTTAATCTATTTGGAGACATATGAATATTTATCCATCCATCCTTTTTCTAACCAATTAAACTAATTCAGGGTTGTGGGGGAGCCAGCAAGGGCAAAAGCCAAGGTACCAGTCCGCTGCAGGGGACACACAGACACAAACACACTTACACACATGCACACTCACCCACCAAGGCCAATTTTCCCAGAAGCCATACAAACTCCTGTGCAGATAGTACCTCAAGTCTGGAATTGAACTCAGGGCCCCAGCCCCAATGAATATTCAGACTTTATGCAAATAGTTACCACTGGGCATCAGTAGTGATAAACGATGTAATGATGACTCAGTATTAAACTGGAAGGTTAAAATCATCCAGTTCCCTAACTGTCTACTTTTGGCTTTTATTTGTGCGAGTAAATTAAGTATTTTCACCTGAAGCACAACTGAACATCCTGGGATTTGAACTCTGGATTCAGTGTCTCCGGGCTTTATCTTTGGCATAGAGACAGCTAACACTAGAGCTGGGTTACCCATCAGGTGAAAAGTCCTACACAAGTCATATGAGAAAAAGAACAGCAGTACTGGTTAGTAGCACGTAATATACAAGAAGCATATCTCGTCAATAAAAGGGGTTTTATTGCAGGGTTATATAATTCAAAAGGTCCAGCTGTGGCGAGATCCTGCTTATTTAAAGGTGATTTCACAGAACGGAAAACACCGCTGCGGGAGTCTTTACCGGTCTTCCTCTCGGAGAATCCAGCGCTGATTGGTATCATTGGGGTTCTGCTGCACCAGCCGGATGGGGATCCCCGGCTGGGCCCCCTCTCCCTGCACCCCGAGAGCCAGACCAGGCGACCCGCAGCACACAAATTGCCCACCGCAGAAACTAAACTGTTGCCGCTGAGTCCGCAGTGTTCGCGCATGTTTTGGTTGCAGCCTAGAAATCAATGAAGATCAAAGTGAATATTGCACTGTGCGCTACCACATTGCTCCACACTGAGTAAGGCCAAACTTAACATGATAATAAGAAGCAGCAACATTAAATTGCTATCATGTAAACTGTTTGTCTACAGCATTAGCCTTACTGATACTGGTATCTCCCCTGATGTACGGTAATATGACTCAGTATGAATTTCTTGCTTATGTAGCTATTTAAAACAAATGCCTGTGTTATTGAATTCAAAATGACCAGTGTAGTAAGAAAATCTGGAAAGAAATCAAATAAAAGCTTATCATCTGACAGTTGTAGTTTAAAACAAACAAATGAAATGCAAACTTTGCAAGCTTGCTACCTGTGCTTCATGTTAGCTTTCTCATCCTCAGATCCATTTGCCTTTTCTTCAGGGTATTCAGGTTCTTTTTGCCATGAATACTTAAAAACTGAGCGACTTTCTTCAAGTTTTCGGTGGGCCTTAGTATGTGAGTCTTCCCTGGACAAGAATAAGAACAATAAAAAGATTAGCCTTTGAGAGTATTCTTCCTTGGGTTTTTAACTATATTCTTATATACAGTTTTTTGGATGAATTTTTTAACAATATAAATTATAAATTTATTTGGGTATTAGCCTGCATTCACTTAAAGAGACTGCAAACTCACGGAAACTCATTCATGACATCTTCGCTGTTCTTTTTATCTCCCCTCTCCTCCGTATGGTGTACATCAGTCGACTCCTCTTGGTCCTTGTTATCCAATTCCACACAGCATTCTGCCACAGTGAGCTGTGATCCCTCCATCACCTCTCCTGCCACCTCCAGAACAAGGTCTGAGGAATACAGGAACACCCCAAGCTTGTAAAAATGTTAAAAAACAAAATACACAGTACAAATGATCACAATTTACTTACAGGTTTCTGTAAAATAAAAGAGCTAGAGATTTTAAGCACATCTTGTAGTGGGTTTTGCAAAAGTTGCCTTAAATCTGAATGTTAGTGAACAAGGTTGTGCAGGCACTGCTTCTCAAATCTTTGACCTTGCTTTCAGCAGCATGAGGGCTTCCTAGGAACTGTGGCAGGCAGTCTGAATATACCCACCATGTTGCTTGCGCATGGCACAGTAGTTGCGGATCACAGCCACATCTGATTCCAGGCTGTTTAAGATCAAGCGTTTCTCCTGCTCTTTCCGGGTCAGCTGAGGATCAATCCATTGTTCTCCACAAGAAACATAAACCTGGAAAACAAGATATACGGTAGATAAAAACCAACAGTGTTATACTTTAAAAAGTACACGCCTTCTTCCACAGAAAAATAATAAAAATGGCATCATACCCCTTGAGTTACTAATGCATACCACATAGTCATCAATTTTTATACATGAGCTATTGCATATTTATCATCTTTTGATTCACTGTCTATAAAACTGTAATTTTCTAAGTAATGCATTACCCCAGATCTGAGGAACAAGCAGAACTGGCACAGTAACAACACTCCATGCACTCTATTAAACTTTATTACTATATTTGTTATTTATAGCATATAAAGGCACCAAGCTTTGCCAATAGTGAAGATCAGGCCAAGAAATTATTTGGAACCCATAGCAAAATACTAAACTAATTATTGTGGAAGGGATCACAATAACAGAGATTAATTTTAAAATAACAAATGATAGAAAGCCAAACTATATTGCACTGTTGACAGACTTAGAGTATTCAGTGTTATTTGTTTTAATGATACTATTTTAATCACAGAGGAGCTTACACACCAGTTGGTCTCTTTGTAGATCTTTGAGTAAAGAAATCTCCTTCCCATCCTTGTCAAACAGCTTCCGAGCTGCAAATGGCAAATTCAGCAACACAGTACATCTGCAAAAGAGAAAAGCAGTCAAGTAAACATATGTCAAGCTTCAACATGGGAATAAATTGGTACACCTGACAGGCCTATGGAATTATCGCTGATTTTGTGCGGTTTGCCAGTGTTCATGAAGTGGTGACCTAGGACTCATGCAGTTATGTTGAGAGCTGTATGCTGTAATTATACTCTTTTGTGTTAAGGACCAGAAAATTTAGGGTGTCAGCAGAAATTATAGGTGATGTGGTTTTGCTTATTTAGAATTGGATGGATGAGAAAAAAAAGTTTCCTTTCCTTCTGCAGTGTTGGAAAAAAAATACTTTAAAAACCTGATACAGTATCAGCAAACCACAGAAATAGCTAAATAGAAAATATATTACGGAAAAAACAAAAATAACACCATATACTGTATAATATTATGTGCCCATGTGTTTCATACAGACTTAAGGTACAGCATAAGGAAAGTCTTCAAAAAATATTACAGCCATTTTCAGTTTAATAAATACTAAAATGAAAGACTAGATTAGTGTTATGCTATAAAATTCTAAACTATAAAGACCAGTAACCATTAATTACAGTAATATTTTAATAATTGCAAGTCTTTTCTGCAAACTAATTAAATGTTAACGTCCAAAAGTAGCTGTACCCAGATTGTTCTGAGAAATATAAGTCTTCATTAAACATTTTTTATACTGTATATTGTCATTACCTTTCAAGAAACTGCTGAAGCTCTAGCCTATGAATTTTTATTGAACCATCATCTTCCAAAGCAAGGCAATTCGGCCTGTCCTTTGGGACTTTCTGCTTCTTTGAACTGGTCGCAGAATTCCTGCTGTGAGAACAGTTTCATTGTGATGATTTTTTTCCCAGCTTAGTTACCAAATAAAAATGAGAATTTATATTTGTATTTAAGGCATCTATTCATCTGTCACATGTCTTCATGATACATACAACGTGCGTATACAGTACGTATATATGTAGATGTTTGTCAAAACAAAGAGAAAATGAAATAAGATTTATGTTCCTTGACTGGCAGGGTGCTCTGAACTGGCTGAAGAACATGGCAGGTCATGGTGGTTGAAATGCACAGATTTTGAAAAGCCACAAGAGTGAAGGCTTCATAAAGGAAAATAAGGTTGAAAAGTTGATCAAGAAATTCAGGACCACTGATTTAGGAACACAATTCTAGAAATGTTAAGCAGGATATATTCTACATACAAAAAGGAGGAATGACTTAAGCAAGGCAATTCTAAGTAGCCATCTCATAGTAAGCAACACCTAATATTGCAGACAATACATATTTAAAGGTAAACCAGTATTTTAGGTTATATAATTTTAATGCTATTGTGATGCTTATATTTTGGTTCTCTGACTATGTGCTAACCTTAAAACTTACCCACACAGCAATTTTAAAAAACATACCCATAAGCAATATGCTCAAAGCAGAAAACGATATAAAATGTACAGGATGTGAACTTCAACCAATACCAAACTGTCTAAGAACACTATATATACATATAAAAGTGTCAAACAGAAGACAAGCGGAATTTGCTCATGTGTGAATTTCAATGGTTTAGCTTTATTTACTTTGCACCAAAATGGACTTTTTGGCATAGCAGAGTGAGTTAATTAGAAATTACAAATGAAATGTATGCATCAAAGATTTCAATTTCAGGCTTGACTTTACCTGAAAGATTAATTTTGGGCATTTGCATTTTTCTTCACTGCTCAGTGGACAGTATAACGTCATGCTGCTCATCATTCAAAAATGTCTGATGTGCAAATATCTATAGAAGGCGCTTAATGAATTTAGATACTACATATCATGAAAATGTTAAAATTCCAGAGTGTCAGCATTTAGGATAACAAAAGAGAGAATTACAGATTTCAACTAACACTGTGCTATTTGAAGTTTTCACTCTATTGTACAATACTTTGAGTGTTACACCTTAAACAGGTAAACTATCAATCTGTAAGTTTTTTTAAAGTTCTCTTTTCTAGTTGTGACACGTATACAAATGTAGATGTAAGCGCTAAACCTGTGCAAAGAATAATCAAAAAGGAACTACAGAATGATTTAAAAATGCAACACGTGCATAATTCAATTTTCATTGTTGGTGCAGAGGTTGTGTTTTTGAATCTTAGAAAGGAGAAAGAAGTGAAAGAAGTTTGAGAATTGGTTGATCTGTACTGGTTTCTGAGCATGTTGGTGATGTCTGGTCCTGTAACGGTGATGGCCTTTGTTTCCTCTCTCTCTCCATTCTTCAGGACTCTCAGCCTCACAGGCAGGTACGACTTCTGCCTCCTGCTGGGCGGGTTTGTCAGTGGAGGAGCATTAGGTATCAGAAACCCTTCAAGGGGCCAGTTGAAATCCTGGATTTTATTGGACACACAAATAAGAAGAATGCAATCTGAAACTGTACTTAGATTTATGCCATAGTACTGTAGGTTTTAATTTGAACAACACTTGATGAACACATTTTCTGTACAATATATTGTATGTAGAACAGTTAGGTTGTAAAACTGTTGCCAAACTTAAAATTCTCAAAAGCAGCAATTCTCAATTTTTAAATACTTTTAAAATAACATGCATTTTAAAGACCTTTCTGTAAAATTAACATTTTTAAAAATGTTCTCCTCAGAAACATTGTTTTGTTAAATTGTAAAATAAACTATTTCATTTTAAGTGGAGAGTTGTCGAGTGACAAAAATAAATCACTAGCCCTTTCTCCTTTCTCCAAACTGCCTATGTGAATCAAGAACAGAACCTGACATTTTTATGTTTTTACATATTTTTTTAATTGTAAATACTGATCATATGAAATACAGTTTTCTCAGAAACATTACAAAAAACAGAGCTAAAAAGAGCTGTTGCAATCATTATGCCAAGATGCTCCGCTTGGGTCAGGCTCTTTAGTATAATGATCTCAGGTAATATTAGACTGTCTGAATTCCATATTTATAATTGGACTGAACAACAAAATGGTTTAGGAGACGGATTTATCACCTGCTTTAACAAAACAGCACTGAGATGTTCTACATCTTCATTAATTTCTAACATCTTGTAAACATTCTGATTGTTTTCACCAGAAGAATGATTCTGCTTGTTAGCTTACCGATAGTTTCTGCTTCCTTGCCTCATCTATTACAAAATGACAGAGGAGTTGTGTTATGTAAATAACATGGATTATTTGTGACAGGATGTGCGTGTTCCCCGTTATAATAATGTGCTTCCACAGAGTACTTGTGTATTAATTCAAGGCAACACAAGGGCGCCTTGCGGTGGCATAAAGGCACAGATGAGGTAACCCCTTTTGTTAAAGAGCTGATAGCAAAAGCTTATAAGAAAGACGATACCCCGACTTTCAACAAGCGCTCGCTTACTAGGGTAAAAACATAGGACTTCAGTCCTGCTTTTCCAGCACTCTCTGCTGACAGTACCAACACCCCCATCACCCATTCCCTACTAGGTTTCACAGGAGGGTACCCACTGCCCTGTCCACGCTCGCTAATGCCACAAATACAGTCAGCTTCTGCCTTCATTTCATTTAATGCAAACACATTACTTGCTGGAGGCATTGCCTGGAACTCTCGATTTACACTGATTTAAAGAATTTTTCTTTAAATGCATGCAAGGTTTTGAAATGATTAATAAGCACAGACCACCAAGCTTGAAAAAACTGACAGCTCCGAGCGTTAACTGGGAGAGCTGCGGTTTCTTCCTGGGGCGAGGCAGGCATACTGTAGTCGCCATGTTAGTGATCCAGAGCCCAGGACAGGAACACTACCTCATTCAGCTCTCCATTCGGCAGCAGAGGCCACATGTACATGAGCTTGTTCCACTGTGGGTTCTCCACTTTCGAGTGCTTCCATTGACCTAGTTTGTGAATTCCCTCTTGTTTGATAGCCCATCTGAAAAACATAAAAAGGACAGTCATTTACAGTAATAAGCACAAAGCAATGTGCTGTAATTTATTTTTTTATGAAGAACTGAGATGATGTGACATGCTGTGACATATCGCTTTTTTCTTCACAATGTTTCAGTGTTCTGGAACAGCAAAGGTAGCACATGACAGGGAAGAGAGCTGTGAGTAGAAACCAGGGAAAAAGTGACAGACCATGATGTGGGAAACAATGAGACTGGGGGAAATGGTCATTTTCTTCTGGCTGCAGTGAAAGATCATGATTGTATCTGTACTTGTGACTTCTATCACTCACTGCTCAGTTGACTTGTCATGGCACTTAGTGCCTTGTGGCTTTTTTCTTTTTTTACCTCAAATTGTGATAAGTGAAAACATACTGTTTTAAAAACAACAAATACCTTTTAGACAACGTATTTGAGGTATTTGATTCATTCCTTCATTCTAATGGTTGATTATTAAACTGCAATTAATTAAATCCTATTCATCATTATAGAATCTAATAATTTCTCTCATTGCTTTTGTGACTGTGGATTTCATAACTGATCTACAGTACAACTCAGAGACAATTAGAATACTGGCAATACTAAAGACTGCCATTAGGTGGCGGCCATACTCCATAAATTAGATCTGGTGTTCTGTTTTTTCCCTTCTGTTTATTTACAGCTGGCATCATAAGGACACTTCTTGGTAACATCCCAGTTTCTAAGACATCATGGAGACCCTGCTATGCTGAAAGGCACACAGCTGCATGGAAAATTCACAGCAGCTATCAAAACAATGCAGGAATGCTCTAAATTCAGAGCACTCTGAAACCATATGGGGCAAGGAAGATTACTTAATTTTTCCATGCAGTAAAATTGTAAGAGAAATTCACTCACTACACTTATAAAACAAATAGAAATGCTGCCACACAACATTGTTTACCTCTTCAAACAGTCTCAAAGGCTATGAATTTGGCTTTTAACAGTGCATATCCTATTGCTAAAATATTTTAATGACTTATTATTTTCACTATAGAACATCCTGGAATGCTAGGAAGAAGAATCACTCTAAAATATTCCTTTTTAAATATGAATTTAATATAGAAAATTATCTGTCTATGAAGTAACATCTACTTATTTTTCATTGCAGTGTTATCACTAATGACATTGACAACTCATACAAATATCCATCCATCCAGTTTCTCACTGTTTCATCCAATTCAGGGCTGGGGGGGAGCCGGAGGCTATCCTGGCACACAACGGGCGCAAGGTGGGATACGCCCTGGACGGGAAACACACACACTCACACCAGGGGCAATATTCCCAGAGGCCAATTAACCTCCCAGTACGTGTCTGGACTGTAGGAGGAAACCGGAGCATCCGGCAAAAACGCACACACAGGGAGAACATACAAACTCCACGCAAGTCTGGGACTGAACCCAGGGCCCCAGCACTGCGAGGCAGCAACCTGAAGCTCGCTGTTCACGTCCCTAGATATGTTCAGACAAGATTATCACGTTGACCTGTGAGTGGTAACAGACCTCTAATCTCTCTTAAGGAAGTATAGTTTCAGTTGTAAGGGGAATTTATGGTAGCCCTAAAACATCCATAATTGATGTTAAAAGTGGCCTACTCAAAAATAAAATGGAAACTTCAATTTAAATTATATTAATTTCTAAATTTTTGCATGTACAACAGAAGCAGACTGAAGTGGACGAAAATGTAGGCTAATTCTACGTACCAGGAAGCAATACATAACAACAGGGCCGCACCATCTGTTAGCGGAACTGCAGTGTTTATTAAGCTTTCACTTGCTATATTATATCTATTATGAAATAAATCTCCATCCTGTCCTGCCAGTTAAAAAATAATAACAAAAACTCCTCTATTTCTAAAGATGTATTTTAGTTTTCAAAATATCAGATAAACTATTTTGTCTTTGGTAGGAGCTTTTCTTACTAAAAATGTCAGACTTCTCCTGAGGCCTGCTCATATACCAGTAGGTCAAAGGCTGCAAGGGCTTGTGAAGGTTTTATTTTGTAGGGTTGTGCCAGGGTTCCAGTGAAATTTAGAAATTGTGGAGAATTCAAGAATCCTCTTCTGAAATGCTCAGACCCCAGCCACTCCACTTTTCCACAGTGAATTATATATTGCCAAATGTTAATGCCACTCAGTGTCAGGGTTCTAAAAGCATCTCGGGCCTCAGCTGAATATTTTTTCCATCCTTATTAATATTCCCATTTGAGAAACCATCCACAGCTGAGGCTATTAATGTTAATATGAGACATCTTCTCTAGCAGACATAGTAAAAACGGAAAGAGACATTTTAAACTAAGCCTTTAACATGTGACCTTTGGAGCCATTTAGATTTAAATTAGTTTTTCCTCTCATATTTTGGCTTCCATGAGATTCAAATTCAGGCCCCCAGAGCAAATTATGATTATTCCACCCAGTTAGATGTCTGCTACCAATGGCTATTCTTATTAACACACCACACAAAAGTTTACTAAAAATAGTTGCCACCCAAATGTTTTTCATGTACACAAAGATGGTGTCTAAATTTGGAATCTAGGAGGACGTGCGGGATTAAATGAATGTTTCAGAGAGCCAGATATGAATAATTAAGGAAAACTCAAGCGGATGAAGGTAACGTCAGGTCTGCAGGAGTATACTAAATGAAATGCCTGTCAAAAGTCCCCTCATATGACAAAAGTGAATGTTAAGACTTTTTTTTCTTGGAAAAAATAAGACTCCAGAGAAAAACAGCTCCCTTACACCAAAAGCACAACAGGAAAGATATGTAATTGCTGTATATGCTACAGCGAAACACTAAACTCTATCTTATTAAATGTGATAAATATTTCTTTAGCTAAAATATATTTGTAAATGATGCTTCTTCTGTGTTCTTTTTGAAGGGTTATACACCATAGCAAGCAATATTCCTGCCATTATATTCATCCCTAACAAACCTATACTCACCACAGATAAAGTTTGTAGACATGGATAATTTGTGTGTGTACATTTTTATGTATGATTTTACAATGCCTCTAAAAACAAGAACCATATGTTTATGAAAAAATGCTCATCACATTACCCCTTCCTCACAGGCAGCTAAATATTAGTAACAATTAAATTATATATATATATGCACACAGAAGAAATGTTTAAATATTTGCATGAACATGTATAAATAAAACATTTTTATACTTTTTTTTAGAACAATTGAATGCGGCAGGCATCATATATGCGATTAGTATGCTGACAAAGCATTTCTTACTGACCTACATTAACTGCTTTGTGTCGTGTAACCACTTAAGCCAAATATTTTAAATGCTCTTTAACATTCTAATAATGAAATAGTTCAACATAATTGTTTTTCCCCCTCTGTTTCTTGTTTCATCCTGAGATAGCTTTTAAATTACAGGCCTGTTTTTGTTGTATGACCAAAACAATTATGAAAGTAAAAAGAATTGTGTAATTAAAAGGTAATTTCTGCACATTAGATCATACATTTTTCAAAAGTGCTAGCCTTCATCTGCTAGATGTTTACTTTTCATCCTGCTTTTGCTGATGTACTATCCCATCAAGGCTGACATTTAAATGAGCGAGTATTCAACACAAATGTAATCATTGTACAGCATCCAATGTGGCACCATACTGTGATGATTGCTGCTGAGAGCCTTTAGCGGTCCCCCAAATGGGGGGAAAAACGAGACAAAATGTTATCAATTTACATTTTTCTGTGATTAACTTTTATGCAAAGGAGGGTCTGATCTTGCTCCTGTCTCACCTGAATCATGTGGATCATCAAAGACAAATTGAGCATTGCTTATTTAAGCGACAGGCTCTAAAATACCGTACAGCTGTGCTGCGAAAGAAAAAGAGTGGGCCATGAACTTTTCTAATGCAACCCAGAGAAAAAACAACACCGTCTTCATGTGGTGCAGTAGCACAATGAAAACCACAAAGGACAACTGCACCCACTCTTTTTAATTGTCAGTGGGATTAAAACACCGTTTAGCGGTTACAGTAAAAACGGGTTGGCATTAGTAAACACCAAGTAAATATTTCATACACATCTCCTGAAAAGCCATGCATGCCCAAGATTTTTCCCTGTGGCTGTGACTTCTAACACTTCCTCCACATCAGCAAGGCCTTAGCTGGCCAGAGCTGATAGCTTTAATTTCCTCTGCCAGAGGGCTGCTGTTCACCTCGGCTTGCAGCAGACGACTTTGCCGTTTGCGTTGCCGATCCAGAAACACACCGTAGCTGTAGCCCAAAGTCAGACCCCAACCTGACTGACGCAGCTGGTGTTCCAACTGACGACCTTAACATTTGGAAGGTTACTGCACTAAAATATCAGCCTTCCAAACTGGACGCGAAAAAACGGAGGCAAAAAACCTGAATTAAAGAGCTTTTATTTGCTGTTGTACATGGGGTGAACATTAACCAGTTTAAACTCTCATTACAATCCTTATTGTCCTTTGTATGTACATTTTTTCACACAAGAGCGTGATAACGAAGCACGGTTAAGAGTCCTGGTTCAGAGGAGAGAAAACGTAATAAATGAGCCATAGGAGACATTGCTATTTCACGTCCAAATTATATTTAAAGATACATTGAGTTTAATGTTCATCTGTTCACTAATAATGTTTTATTACCACTTTTAATACATTTCAATATAATTTCCTCATTCTTTTGAAACCAATAATTGCTGCAGAACTGCTTTGGGGTTTTACTGTATTGGGTTGCACTACTGTTTTTTTTACCAGCTCATAAATGAATTTTTATGTGAGCTACAATAATTAAAACAATTATCTCACTTTCAAAAACAGTTTAAGGAAATTTACAGAAAGATAAAAGGAACAAGGCAGACCTCTTAGACCATACAGTATATTGGAAAACTCCATAATATACTGAGTGTACAATGTGGAAAAAAAAAGTGAAAAAATAATACTTTGTTATATATATATGTATTTCAAAACTACAGAAACGAAATAAATGATCC